TTTGAATTTGATGATACAAGGGTTGATTAAAGTTTATTATTATTCTTTTCACACATTAAAAAAAAAATTAAATACATGACATTATAAATATTTGAACCCTAATTTTAATATCAAATGAAACTTTTCATGAGTATCATTGGCACCTCCCCACGAGTATGGATATCGATTCGCGGATGCTTCATGGAAAGAAGACAGCTCATGACTAATGATTTTTTCAAAGTATGATAAAACAAGTCAATTGTTCTACACTAGAACTTATATTACATAATCCTGATTTTGATGTATCATCATTAATAATTTTCATTAGTGGACAAAGTCAAAATGACAAAATCCATAATTAATACTACTGTATCTCAAATCATGATTCATACACAAACCCAATATACACGTCTATATATATTTATTTACTTGGATCTTTATATTTTCTTCTAATTAATTAACATACATTTTAAAATTAATCTCTTGTTTATTAATGTTAATGGTGGACCCTTTGTATAAACCTAATACATTTGTAATACATTTGTAGTACATTTGACTTAAGAGAAATGGAAGGGAGGGGGGAAAGATTTTCTAATTAATCTAATTATAACATTATAATTTAATTTATCAAGAAATCTTTTCTTTCTCTCATTTCTCCTCCATTTTTCTAAACCCAAACATTCAGTTAAATAAATTAATTCTGTTAACCCTAAATCAACCACTTGAATCATTATAATTTACTTACTAGTATTATAACTTTCTAGTACATCAAACATTTTAACTTATCACTTATAACTCTTGTTTACTAATCTTAGCGGTGGATCCCTCACATCAACTAAATATATTTTAAGAAATTAATTCTTTTAATCCTAAATCAAACTTGAATCGATAAACTTTACTTACTAGTACATCTAAACACTTTGAGTTACAACTTATAAACTCTGTTTAATGTCTAATCAATTTAATTAGCTCGCACAGAATGAATCAATTTGGTTATTTTATGAAGAATATATATATATATCCTTCCATGAAGACTGAAGCTGGCCTTGAGCCATTGAGATTAAATAGATTAATTTTTATTGAATAAATTTTATTTACACATAAAATTTATATATTATATTTATACAAAATCTCAATAATATACATCTGGATCTCGTAGCCTAACAATTATAAATTAAGTTGAAAGTTGCATTTTTTATTTTAAAAACTAGGGTTTCAATCTCTTCACCTTAAATGTAAAAGTAGTAAAAAAAAATTTAATAATATATCTTTTTATTTTTAACAATTAAAATTTATTTATATTTATTAAAAATAATTATTTTTTATTTAAAAATTTATGATAAATTTTCATTATTAAAAATAAAACAATAAAAAATTAAAATTTTACATAAATATAATATATAAAATTTATATAAAAACGATCCCTCCTCATTTTTATAGTATTTGCATTTCTAATATTTAACTTATATTCTATAATGCTGAGAAACGCCAAGCTCTTAAACATTAAAAATAAAACAATAAAAAATTAAAATTTTACATAAATATAATATATAAAATTTATATAAAAACGATCCCTCCTCATTTTTATTATCTCTGCAACTGGAAATTAACACAAGACCAGGTCTTCACTCTGACTTGTGCACACGTCCTTCACACTGTTGACAGTGACCATTTTACCAATAAAAACCAGTGCTGACAGAACAGGTTTCATTTTTTTTTTTGTTTTGTTTTTTTTGGTAGAAGACTCTCTACAGGTTTCTTTGATGGATTTATGTGGTTTTTTTGTCTGGAAAAAGCGTTTTGAACATTGGCTTTTCCAATGTGTTCGTTCCGTGTTCACATCCTGTACTCAACATTCGTGACCTTTGAAAAAGTCAGAGAGCTTCTTTTTCTAATGCGACTCCGTTTTGGTATTATTGTTATTGTTAGTTTTCTATTTTAGGAATAGTAATCAAAATTTAAACAACACCACTTAGTATTAATAGAAATTTTTTTTAAAATTATATTATTTTAATAAAATTTATAAAAAAGTTCAAATATTTAATTATTTTTAAAGTAAGGATGAAAATATTTTAATTTTTTGTAGTGTTTTATTAAAATATTAGAATATTTTTTCATTTAATTTTTTTATAAATCTAACTGATAAATATTAATTTTTAATAATGAAGAGTGTGTTTTTAATATTTGTAATTAGAGGATAAGTTAATAGTATAATAATATATCTTTTACTATAAATTTATATTAAAAAATAAATATTAATATTAAATTTATTAATTATTTAATTAAATTTATTTATGTGATTATTAATTATTTAATTAAATTTATTTATGTGATAACAACACTAAAATAATATAAAATTTTATATTTTTTATACAAATTAATAATAATTATATTAAGAACATATATTACAAATATTATAATAATAATAATAATAATAGATTTAAATTAAAAATTAAACCCCACAACCTATACAGCATTAAATGCAGAACTTGAAATTGATTACAACATCGAGATTAGATAGGGTCGTTTTTATGAGTCAATTACTTCAACGTGTTAGTAGAAAATGCACAAGAAAAAAAAAAATAAAATCATGACAAAGCTAGATATGATCATCAAAATTGTCAAATACCTGGGAAACTTGGCCCGAAGAATTTAGGATATACCAACAAATTTTCCCTTGTTTTCCAGGCAAAGAAAAAAGGTTGGAGAAAATTGTGGTGAACAGATACAGGGAACGAAACGAACGTTAGCATGAAAATGTGCTACACGAAAAAATTGAAGGCTGTTAGTGTCACAGATAAGTCTCACCGACAGTTCCCATTCCATACTGCTAGTTTTTTTACAGCTTACCATTAGGCAGTAGCCAGTAATTGGTGTTGAAAATAAATCAAAATTAAAAAGTTTACAGGAAATTACTCCCATTGCTAATGGTTGATGAGACCCTTTTCATTTTCTTTGACAAGGTCTTAGTAAGTATTTTCCTAAACTTCAACATTAAGTGTGTATTGATTGCAAGTTTTTTTTTTTTCCTTTGATGAATTAAGGTGAGTTGGAAGCAGAATTTTTGTTGGAACTTTTGTTCGGGTGATTTTGGATTTTTACTTTCAGGTTGTGATTTATATGCCAGCTGATGTACAAATTTCTTTCAGTTATACAAGAAAAGTTTAGTAATTAAAAAAAGGAAAAAAGAGAGAAAAAGCCTTCTTTTTAAAACAAAAAGGACTTATACCAGCAATTTATTAGTTTGAGAAAAATAAATCTAATGTTATTTTTAAATATAAAAAATCTAATTAAAAAAATGAAACACATTTATAAAATGGGTGATTACTTGATATGTTAGAAATAAAAAGGAGTTAGTATAGTTAGAAAGCCTGGATATATTTTTAAATAGGAGAAACTTGAATTTGGATTTCTGGATTTTATTTTTCCATTTTAGGGTGTACAATAAAATAAAATGATAGTAATTTTTTCTAACTCTCTTATCTAACAATTTAAATTGTAATGAATTAAAATAGTAGTACAACAATTGACTAAGAACAATTTCTATAATTAAAAAATTTATTCTTATTAAAAATTTAAATTATACAATTAAAATTCTACTTTTTGAATCTCATTATGGTTTTTTTTTAGGCAAAAATCGTCTCTAATATTTTTCTGTTAACATAAACTATCACTTTAAAATTATATTTTCTAGAAATTAATCTAAATTTAATTATTATTGTTAACTTCTATTAAATTATTGTAGTTAAAATCTAAAAAAAATTAATAATAACAGTTTTATTTAAATTAATTTTTTTAATATAAAAATTTAAGATAATAAACTATATTAATATTATTTTATAGTGACCATTTACTACAAAAACAAATTTGAGACCCTTTCGTTTTGACTGCAGAATAGTTTTTCATTAGTACTACAGTAATTTTATTTTACAAAATTTTCTAAAAAATAGTAATGAAAAAGAGAAAAAGAAATTACTTAGTCTCTTTTGACCATTACAATCATCATCATCAGCAGAGCTTCTTTCCTTCCTTCTTCCTCCCGTCTACGCCTCCATTTCCTTTGTGATTCCCTTTTCTCTCTCCGTCCAGCATATCATTTAAGGGGCTGTACTGCTGCTATATATAGCTTTTTCATGCTTACCATTTCAAGCTGGGACCTTTGAATTGAATTTGGTGTTTTTTCTCCTCTTTTCTCTTTTAGCTTTAGCACAGACCCATCATGGGAGCCTGTCTCTCTGTAAGAGTCAGTGGCTCCAATAGTAACAACACGACCACAGCCTCTGGGAATCGCCATGGAAAGGAATCGACGGGGAAGAAAGACAAGAGGGAATCGCATCAGTTTAAGCAGAATGAGACCAGGAAACAGAACAATGAACAGAAGAATCAAGCCCAACAACAACAGCAGAAGCAGGTAAAAGGCAAAGGGAAGCCGAATTCGAGGAGGCAAACTGGGGTCATCCCATGCGGAAAGCGAACGGATTTTGGGTATGACAAGGATTTTGATCAGCGTTACACGATCGGGAAACTGTTGGGTCATGGTCAATTTGGGTATACGTATGTTGCCACCGACAAAGCAAACGGGGATCGGGTTGCTGTTAAGAAAATTGACAAAAACAAGGTATTGTTTTTATGCTAATTTCTTCAATATTTTTGTGGTTTGGTGGGTGTACTCTGGTTTTAATGAATCTGAGTCGATGAGATTCTTTTGATTCAATTTTTATATTATCTTATGAATTAATGGTAGGATTCTATTTTCATTTTTTGGGTGGAATCGGATTCGATCTTGATAATGTTGGGTTAATCCAAAAATGTTGTGTTGGGGGGTTTTTAACTTTTAAGTATGGACCTGCTTTTGCTTTATTATCAAGCAATGGCTTGGGGATGTCTTCTTGATGATCTTAGTTATGGCTATAATATATGCTCACTTTTCATTAAATTTGGTGAGATCCATATAGACTGCTTATATGTTTGAGGATTTTGGTTCTGTTTTTGTTTGAAACTTGATCTAATATTCATTTCAAATCGGTGTGTTTTCATCTATGGACTGTGATTGTTGTGATATTTGCTAGGTTCAGTGTCAAGCAGCAACCTAAATTCCGTGATTTGAATCCACAGTATAGAGCTAATATTAGTGAAACTGAAACCAGGAGTATTAGTATTTCTGCAATGCAATAGTTTAAAATATATGAAACTTTCAGTTTTCAACTGTTTAGTTCAAAATGCTAATTTTTGAGTCACAATATTCAGGTAAGCAATGCCATCATTAAAAGAGGAAACTGTGCTGGTGACAGGAGTTTTGTTTCTTTGTATCAGAAAATGAACTGTCAACTGTATGCATTTGAGATATGTAAATGAGAAGAAGAATCATATTTTCAGGAGTATTGCATTCAAAAACTGCATCAGGCTATATACGTTAGAATCCAGAGACATTTTATGAAGTTGCCTTTTGGGCTTACCTAGGAATTAAGAAAGTTTCTGGCTTTATTGCTGGATATCATGGTCTCTTTTAAACTACTCTTTCAAAATAAGTAAGTTTTATGTATATCGTATGCAGATCATTGGTAACATGAAGTTAAGTGGGTCAAGTGAGATAGCAAAAACATGCAATAAGAATTGTGTCATATTTTGCCTCACAGTTTCTTCAGTGTTGTATCTGTTTTTCTCATTTTGATTTTTTAAATTACATTTTTCTTAAAGAAACCAATGTGGTTTTGGTGCCAGATGGTTCTTCCCATTGCTGTTGAGGATGTCAAGCGAGAGGTCAAGATATTGCAAGCCCTTACTGGCCATGAGAATGTTGTTCAGTTTTATAATGCCTTTGAGGATGAATGCTATGTATATATTGTCATGGAGTAAGCTCTATATTTCATTTATCTTCTATTTTAAGATTTGTTCATTTCTAATGATAGCTAAACTCTGTCATTTCTTATCATATTTGTCATTCTAATCTGCATTGGTTATACCTTCATTTGCATCACTATAGGTTATGTGAGGGGGGAGAATTGCTGGATCGGATATTGGCCAAGTAAGTATCCTTAGTTCTTATAATTAATTCTTGGCTGCAGTTGCTGCTCTTTAATGCTGTCAAATTATACTGGTTGCTACGTTCTTTTACACTAGTATTTTCATAAATCCAGTGCCTCTATAGAGTACTTACCTCTACATTCTTTTCTTCAATCAGAAAGGATAGTCGCTATACTGAGAAAGATGCAGCAGTAGTTGTACGACAGATGCTCAAAGTAGCAGCTCAGTGTCATTTGCGTGGCTTGGTACACCGTGACATGAAACCGGAGGTATGCTTGTGTCTTTAGCATGGGTAACGTGTAAACTTTTGTTTTATGAGTCATGCTGCCTGACAATGGTTCTCTTGTGTTTGTTTCTTTCCTCTAGAATTTCCTTTTCAAGTCAACCAGAGAAGATTCACCTCTGAAAGCTACAGATTTTGGTCTCTCAGACTTTATAAGACCTGGTGAGCAGAATTTACATCATGTCAAGAAACCATGGTCTTTTTGATACAAATCTCTCCCCATTCCTTTTTTGGGGACCTGTCACTCTATGTATTCACATTTTTTTCTTCCAACCTTGACAATTATTCTCTCACTAGCTAGTTAAATGATGTTTATGTTATCATTCACAAGCCAAGTTGTATAATGCCACTACTACATAATGTTAATTACAGGAAAGAAGTTTCAAGATATCGTAGGCAGTGCCTACTATGTTGCTCCTGAAGTATTGAAACGCAGGTCAGGGCCTGAATCAGATGTATGGAGCATAGGTGTGATTACCTACATTTTGCTTAGTGGGAAGCGGCCCTTCTGGGATAAGACTGAGGATGGCATATTTAAGGAGGTGCAGTACATTTTCAATCTTGGATCCTGACTTCTTTTTACTCCTTGTTTTGATGGATTCTGTGATTTTTATTTTAGTGTTATGTTTATCTCCGGATCCTGTTCCATGATTGTGACCCCGTTTCCCTCCTTTTCCCATTGCAAAAGATTCTTTCTCCTTGGTATACTTATCCTACTTTATCTTCTAACTGTAGGTTTTAAGGAACAAGCCTGATTTTCGACGCAAACCATGGCCAACAGTAAGCAATAGTGCTAAAGATTTTGTGAGGAAGCTACTGGTGAAGGATCCTAGGGCAAGACTTACAGCTGCTCAGGCCCTTTGTATGTCTAAACATCATCTCTTGGAATAAATACTTCTTATTATAGGCTTAATGAACTATAGTATTATGTGTAAAGTTCTGTTTATTTTCAACTGTGAATTTCCCATGCCTATATTAGTCCATCTTGTTCTAGATTTATTTTCTGATTGCTTCAACTTTTCCAGCACACCCATGGGTTAGAGAAGGAGGATGTGCATCTGAGATTCCAATTGACATATCTGTTCTAAGCAACCTGCGACAATTTGTGAAGTACAGTCGTTTAAAACAATTTGCTCTGAGGGTAACATGATTTTCCCCCTTGCATGATTACCTTCTGTGCAAAAGAGAGCTCAGTTTTTCTCACTATTTACTGCTATTTATATATCCAGGCATTGGCTAGCACAATTAATGAGGAGGAGCTGGCTGATCTTAAGGATCAGTTTGATGCCATTGATGTTGATAAAAATGGTTCTATAAGTCTTGAAGAGATGAGACAGGTATCATACGCTGAATTTTATAGTACAAATGCCCACATCTTAGTATTTTTTCAATTTCTGTTTCTTTGTTTCTGGGCTAATGAAGAATGGTTTGAGTGCAGGCCCTTGCTAAAGATATTCCTTGGAACCTGAAGGAGTCAGGTGTCCTTGAGATTCTTCAAGCGGTTAGTATGGTCTCTTCTTGGTGTAAAGATGATTCTTTTCCCTCTTGCTTTTGTAAATTCTGTTTCCTTCTTATGGCTTTCCATGTGATTGAATAATTTTTATTTCGTGATTGTAGATTGACAGCAACACAGATGGGCTCGTTGATTTCACTGAGTTTGTTGCAGCTGCTCTACATGTGCATCAACTGGAGGAGCATGACTCTGAGAAATGGGAGCACCGGTCTCAAGCTGCTTTTGAGAAGTTTGACATAGATAAAGATGGGTATATAACTGCAGAGGAACTCAGAATGGTATGTAACTTATCAAATATAGTTTTTCTGGAAAATTTTCAGACATAGTGAATATATGGTGCCCTGACTGAGATTGTTCAACTAATTCTCAGCACACAGGCCTAAAAGGCTCCATTGATCCTCTGCTGGAGGAGGCTGACATTGATAAAGATGGAAAAATAAGCCTTTCAGAATTTCGCCGACTTCTACGAACTGCAAGCATTAGTTCAAGGAATGTCACCAGCCCAGCTGCCAGCCAGATTTCTCGGAAGCTGTAGATCAGACCTTGCGTTGTATATTGAGAAAGAAAGTAGGGTAAGAGATGGGAATCCAATTTCTAGGTTTCACTTGTTTAGAGATTGTACTCCATCTCGAGCGGATTTAACTCTTTCCATCAGCTCCTGGAGGACCCTTTTTGGACTTGAGTGCTGAATGATGGCATCCCACTTTGGTGAATGCACTACTCAAGATTCTTCGTCGTAGGGCAGCCCTCTGGTTATGGAGATGAAGGTGGATTCAGGTGGTCGTATTGTGTACATTCTTTTTGTGGGGGATTTATTGGATTCTGCCTGTTGAATGTCATATGTGATTATAAAATAATTTTTAAAAAAATGGGAATATGGTGCGAGAAGTATTCATTTATGTGTTAATGGCGTGTTTTTTGTAAATTCTTTAGCCGTCAAATAATGAGAATCTCAGAATTGCAACAATTTCACAGAACCATACCTTTTTCATAAAATTACTTCTAAATGAAGATTAAGCGTTCGGCATTGTAAAAATATTCTGGATTTATGTGATTCTGTTCTTTTGTCTCAAAGAAGACAAGTCAAGGGAATTATCTGGGTTTCTGAGGACTTCAGGCCTAGTACAGAACAAATGGACCAAAAACTGGTTCATTAACTTCATATGATCATTCCCCACTTACCGGATAATACATGGTTGTGCTGACTAAACTACAAATAATATAATAGACTAACAGCTAAAGACCACGGAGTGGTTGATGACTTGCATACAAAGATAATATACAAAACACATTCATCCACAGGATGATATCACGGCAAGTCATTTACAAAGTGCACCCAGAGAATAATTACAAAATTTTTGGATAAATCACAATGGCTGGCAATGTGGTGTGCAAAAAAATTTTCCCCGCCCCTCCTATAGCCAGGACGTATCAGGCAGCCAGAAGAAAGCATCCTTGCTTCAGCATGTTACGATAAATAAGAGATGTTAGCAGTTTGAGAGTCGATGGGAATGACTGTAGTTCTTCATTGACTAGATCTTGAGCCATCATCTACACTGTTACAAGAGCTATCTGGAAGACCTTGAGATGAATGGCTTGGAGAGCTCTCATTCACAAAAATTCTTTCCTTCTGTGTTTGCTTGCTTTTCTTTTCTACAGCAACCAAATCCTACAGAGACAATTAGGTTTATATGCCACTTAACCGCACCAGGCATTGTATAATGGATCTTACATAACCATAATAGTACCTGGTTTGCTGATGATCCGGGGATCTTAAGTTCAAGTTCTGTCACTACATCATTAGAATTGTCACTTCTATCAACACTGGTTCTTTGATCATTCACTGATTTGCTTTTGGATTCCCTTCTGCTAGAAACATGAGAGGAGGATGCATGCTGTGATGATGGCTGTTCCACAGGAAGATTGCTGGTTGTTGAGAAAGGAATAAATGTTGAGCAGGGAGCAGGAATAGTGCCAGGAGCATGATTTCCAAAAAAGGGATATGGCTGCAATGATGGGTGCATTGGTATTGGGCTTGGAGTTACAGGTATAGGCAATGGATACGTATAAGGTGCAGCCATTACAACTGGGGGATCAATACCAGCCCATGGAAACATAACTCTAAGTCTCTGCTGATATTGAGTGTTTAAATTTTCAATATCAGCTTTTAAAGATGACTTTTCTTCTCTGAGCTCATTCTTCTCCTGCATTAGCTGTTTGTCATAAAAAAAAAGTTAAATGAATGCAGACAAGCAATTTAGTGGCTTCAAAATCAAAAGATTTAACATTGAAAATATCACCTCACGTGATTCTTCAGAGAGTGAAGCACACTCAGCTTTCAGCCTGTTGACTTCTGTATTTAAATCCTGAAGCACTTGGATTGTGTCCGTAAGAATGGTTGCCTTGTCATTCTTCGGCCTATCAGGATCTGCATAGATTTTCAGAAATCAAGCACATCATATTACCAATAAATGTATGAGAGAGAAAGCATCAATGAGCTAATCTAAGATCTCTGAATTTAGAAGAAAACAGGATTAGAAAATCATTGTCTCCAACCATAGCTTGCAGCCCCAATTCATGGCAGTATGTAAGACATTTTTATCATTCAAATCAAAACATAGACTTGCTTCTAGGCTTGCTTTGTTTGATTGCAAGTAAATTTTCTAATGTTCGACTGATTTATTTTTGTTAAGTGATTGAGAAAAAGAGTCATGTACTTACACCAAAATATTTTAAAAAGTCATAGTATTTTTTATTAGCAACTTTTGTAGCTGAATATGAATACATACACTCCGCGCACTAATGCCATATCAAACCACTGAGAGAGAGAAGTAATAACTCTAACTAGTATAACCAATGAGCTGCCTGCAATATGACCTAACAGTTCAATACCATACGACATGCATCTAATTTTGATTCAATGCATATTAACAATCAGATGGCGTAGAGCTCCACATTTTGAAAAATTGTTAGCATAAGTAAAACATGGATTTAGTTCCAATGTGCTACACATAATGTCAGGAAGTGTCCAGTCTCCAGATTCAGATCATGGATTCATGGCAACCAAGTTACTCATGAATTTCAGTAATTTACCTAGCGTGTTTCCCAACTCAAGGAACTGCTCATTTAGCCGGTCCCTTCTCAGCTTCTCACGATCTGCCTTCTGAACTTTTCTTGCAGCTATTGGATCCTTCACTTCTACCTCCGGCTTTTGTCTGTGAGCAAAGAGTTTCTGGTCAGCATTAACCACATTAAAAATCCAACCTTCATAGTCTAACTAATAACTGACAATGTAAAAAAAAGAAAAATAGTTCCCACTCAATCTTATAGCACAAAACTACAAAAGAGTCAGACAATGCTACATGACTCTTTTCACTTAGCGGGACACATGTGAATTGATATGCATTCACTTATTTGATGTCACGTAAATAAAATTAATAAGTGAAAAAATTACCCCCTTTTTTTTTTTTTTGTGTGTGTTGATGAATTCCTTATTTTGAAAAATTAAGGGTAAACAATAAGAATTCAAGCAAACATACTATTATTATTAACAAATAAATGTAATTTTTTTGGTGTTCCCTAGGGGACGATCCAGTACTATCCAATACACTAAAAGGTAATTTTTTTGGTCTACATAAGGTATTTAATCCAAGTTTTAAACTGAAAATTGAAATTAATTATAACAACCAAATCAACTAAACAAAACTCATTGCATCACAGTAACAAACAAACAATTAAAAGAAGGAACTTGAGGAAAATTTGAAGCTGTTTAAACATAGTTTCAAGCAGAATTAAGCATCAAAATCAGGAGAGAAGAAAACGGAACCTGTGCTCGGAGTTTGGAGGGCCGGAACCTGGTGCCATAGATTTAGAGAAATCAATCGGCTTCCATTGATGATGATCCATGATGCTTTCTTCTAACTAAAATTCGAGCTAGGGTTTACTGAGAAGGCGTGTTCCCGATCTCTCAGCCGGAAATATCGAATTCAGGAGATAGGAGAAGAAATTACGGTAGCCTTCAACTCGTGCTTTCCACGAGCCGGAAGCACGTGCCGCATGCGTGGGAAAGGTCCATTTTTTGGCACTTCCCCAAACTTATCCTTCATCAATATTACATGAAGGATTCCACTTAAATTTGTTTTCCAATTATTGTACGTCATTTTTTTT